TCAACAAATGTAATCGGAAGAGCTTAAGGAGATTTGTGGAACCCTAGATTGCAGGGGGGAGATTCGATCTGGAAGAGACAGTTGTGGAAGAGAGAAGAAGAAGAAAAATGGTATTACCGTCCTTTGAAGGTGTCCTCTTCAATTTTGTTTTTAATCGATCTACAGGGATGATGGGAAGTGGTGAAATCGATTTAGGGCTAATTTTCTATATTTATCTTTGCTTGTTGCGTGATATAAGGAATTGTTGTTGATCTACCATAATTAACTATGCAAAGATTACTATAATACCCTTAAATTATTTATTTAATGATTTATATTTTCCTAATTTCCTATTGGTGCATTCATGCACACAATAGTTGCTAAAAACATTTGAACCTAGTTCTATATATATATATATATATATATATATATATATATATATATATATATATATATATATATATATATATATATATGAACCCTGGTTAGGTTTATACTTTTTATATAAATGGACCCTTAATTTTGGAATTGCCACTTAGTGTAACCACCAACGCGTAATCCACATTCGCACAAATGGTCATCATGCATTTTCCCTCAACAAACTTTCTTTCTCGGATGATTGAATTGCAGGCATCTACAAGAATAAGGCCATTAATTAATTAGTTTCAGCTTGAGCTTTAATTTCATGAGCTTATGGAATCTTTTCGGTTACACGCACATAACTGAAAACATAGAAATCTAACAACTAGAAGGTATGAGAATTACTTGGGCTTTTGGTGTTGAAGTATCTCCTACAAAAGTTGTGCAGTTTCTGTTGTACTAGCTTCCTTTGATCTTAAAATCACAGACATGGTTACTACTGGTTTTGTTTTCCAAGAACACATGAACTCAGGTCTACATCTGGATCAAGTGAGGAGTTTTTTTGTGTTAAATATTATATTTGATTTGCTTTTACTATCACACATGAATACATTCGATCGATAGTGTCTAGTCATTAACTCGAAGATATATTAGTTCACTTAAATGTTAAATTTAACATGAAATTTTTATACCTAAAGAAAAAACTATTAAAATTGAACTTAAAGTCACCTTTTTACGGATCATAACGATGGGTTGTCATCAACATCAAGTAGAATTATCTGATAATGAAAGGATGTGTCGCATGGTTTCACTTTGATCAAGATTTTATGGTTCATATTAGTGATCACAATGTTTCTATATAAATTACTATCAACTATTATATTGAATTGGTATGGTTCCCTGAACTGAGACCTTATCACAGAAACTGGCCAAGACAAAGGTGAATAACTCGGTTGTGCCATCATCGATATAAGTACACATGCAAAGACAATGAGTAAAAGGCTTTTAAATTATTACTTTTTTTTTTGTTACATTCTAGTTTCTATTACGAATTTTGGGAATGGGAAGTCATCCAACAAGATTCGGTTGGATATTTTGCGAATGTACAATTTATATTTTCTGTTTAAGAAAAGTACATCCACTCATTTTATTTAAAAAAAAGTATAAAAAAAAGAGTAAAACAAAGTGGAGGGTAGGGACTTAAAACAATAAAAATAATTACTACAAATATGATTTTAGTTTTTGGTAAAAATATGGTAGTTTTGAAAATGATTGAAGAAACAGGGCAATTTTCCTTTGTACAAATGGTCTTTTTGCTTGGGTCCACCGGTTTACATCCTTAGGGTGACCACATTACATTGAACTTCATAAAATTTAATGGATTGTTATGTTATTTTTCTACATTCCATACAACTCAAAAAAAAAAAATTTACAATGCATTGAACTCTATAAAGTTCAATAGAAAGTTACAAAAGCTAATTTATAATATGTATTTAAGATTAAAAAACTTTCTTTTTTCCCATTGAAGAGTTCAATGACCATTGAACTTCAAATTCATTGAATGTCAAGGTGACATCTCACTATGGTAGAGTTTCATCCACTAAATTACGACTAGACTTGACACCTCATTCAACCCTCCAATTGAACTCACTATCTCCCGGTGAACTCACTGAACTCACTATTATAGCTCTTAAAATTAAACAAACATTCAAAATTTACATTTTTCACCCTTCAACTTATATCATTATTTTTTGTATAGCTTTTATTATTAAAAGGTCTATTTTTTAACCTTATCATAGATTATACATTAATTATTTTATTCAAAAATATGTCTACGCTTCATGTATTATTTTTAGGAAATTACATTTTTAAATAAATCTATTCAACACCTTCAAATAAACATCAATATTAAATATATTAAATTGTTACGAAACTATAAAAGCATTTATATATGACATTACAATACTAAATAAGCATTAACAACAATATCAAGTAAGCACACATTTAAACATAAATTAATAAAAGTACATATTTCACATTGTAATGTATCTTAGTTGAAATTTTGAATAATTTCTTTGATTATGAAGAGGTTGGGGGCATAGTCTACATCTGTGAGGTTCGTTGGGGTGACAAATGTCCATCTCATTACGAAACTATTTAAACGCCTCCGACCTTGATGAACAGAGACTGTCGAGTAATCTGCTTGAATCGTCTAATTTGACTGCAATTGAAAGTCGAACTATACTAATGTTTGTACGTTGTTGCAGTGTACACATTATTCCCAATAGAAATAGAGTCATCCCCTCCATATCGACAACCTGAAAGAGGATGAGAACATAGGAATCTTTCCATTTTCCATTTTCCACATGTGCATGTTTGTTGAAAATAATGAACGGTATGTATATTTCCTCTAGTGCCATTTATCCGTAACTTTGTAAAAAATCTATAGATACCTTCATTGTGGTCAAACTCGGTTAAATTATGGCTTTATGTACGAGTGTGTCAGTTACAAAATAGAAGCCACATGTGTAATCGTAGAGGTATATTGCAATCCATTGCAACATTACCATGTTTTCTATAATGTTCACAGTTTTGTTTAATAAAAGGTCAATACACACCCTAATAAGTAGATGTCTTGCTCCCCACAATGCGTTGTTCATACTCTTAGATATATTTATTATCAAGATACCCCATCTATAGTTTTCATCATATAAAATACATCGTTGACTTTATTTGATTTGTTTTAAATATTGTCAAGCTTCAAGTTTGTGTTTTGTTTTTTACTTCTACCATATGTTTATCAAATTTCATTTCTGTGTGGTGCTCCCAATAGCCCAACATAATTTTTATGATTGAACTTCTTTTACCTTTTCATGAAATTACTTCTAATGTTTCAAAGACAGAAGCGATGGTATGCTAATTGCTCTTTCCATTCTTTAAGGTTTTCCATTGCATGGATTATTCCTTTGTGCCTATCTGAAATCATACATAATTGTATATATCTTGTGCAACAAAATATCTAAGTTGGTAAAAGAACCAACACCAACTCTGTGATGACTTTTCATTGACATGCCACTACAAGATTAAAGACCTATGGGGACGAAAAAAAACTCATCACCATAGGGTGCAAGGTCATCGTTATAGACCCTGGAGACGAGATGCCGTCCTTATAGACCGCGTTGTCATAGGTCTGTCACTTTAGATTTTATTGTCATTGCCATAGCCAACCCTATAGCAACGACTTGTAGTCACCATAGGTAAACATATTGCGATGACTTATTGTCGCCATACATATCCCCATAGAGACGATAAGTCGTCTCTTTAGGTTCTGCACAGATTTTGCAGATTTTAGCCATGCCCCTATGATTAGTTTAATTTCCTAGGATTTTTATTTACAATAAAAGTTTTATATATAATAAAACAAAAAACAATAAAATTAAATATAAAACATTTCAAATATCTACAATCCAAAGTTTTAAAATATATTACACGATCGGTTTACTAAAAACAAACAACATAATTTGAAATCTTTTAGATGTTCATACAAAGCAGACTCGAGTTGATAATCGAAACAATATCTCATGAAAAGTTAAGCGGGTTTCCATTTTCTTCCTCGAACAAAACCAATAGGTTCCCTCAACAAGGAAATATCGGGGTACTTGTATGTGTCAAACATAAAGCCAATGTCACAAATCACAATTGATAGCTATAAAAAATATAATCAAATAGACATTGATAAATGCAGGTTTTGAACCATATATGTGAGGGAGAGCCAGTAGGGGGCTTAAACAAGACCAAATATCTTCCAATACTTTGGCCATTGATAGAAACTTCACCTTTCCCCATTGAAACAAGGTTTAGTTCAATCAACTTGTTTCCACTAGGCGAGTCAAATGTCATATGGGACGTACAAATCAACAACACAGTTAGTAAAAAAAATGCATAACATATTTTTTTTCTTCATGGAAATAGGATTAAGGGTAACCCCATTAAGGTTAGAGTACAAAGAAACAAGTACTAGCTCAATGATACATCACTTGACCTATGTAAATTGATAGCTTCTCCCCAAGCAATCCAACCTTGGTCAACTAATGTAACCTCATTAAGAGATATACACAACAATAACTTCAAATAAGTAATTTAATATCAAAAATCAAAATTGTTTGATGAAAAATATACATTTGTGTAAACTACTAGCATTTCCAATGTGAACTTTGTAACTTTACGGTTTCCATGAGCAACACTTATAAACTGAAAGATAATACATATGATCAGGCATCATTTCAATACATTTCAATTTATATATATATATATATATATATATATATATATATATATATATATATATATATATATATATATATATCAACACAAAGCCATACAAACAAGATCTTTTCATTGATATATGTATGTACCAATGATAACCCGATGAGTCTTTCATACATTTGTTCCAAAAATCTCAAGCATTATTTTTTTAACAAAATCATACAAAACCAAGTGTTCACATCACAAATCAGTAACCTTAAACATACCCTAAACAGATTCATACACTTCCATAAAGTTTCAAACATATTCAGACTAAATATTAACAAAATCACACAATTATACGTCACAAAATCCAAAGACAAATTTGTTGAAGAAAATGGGAGTTGGAGAGAGAACTACAATTTCAGGGGAATGAGGTCGACGAAAGCAGTAGAAGGAATCAAGAGGTCACCGGAAGCAAAGGAGTGCAGGCTGACGGTGAAACTAGTATTCTCTGAGGTGGTCGGCAAAAAGATAACCTATGACCGAAAAAGAGAGAAAGGAATCATCGAACCAATGTTGTAGCGAAGATGGTGGTTACTGTAGATGTCGACGGTTACCTGGTTGTCGCTGTGGTGGCTGACGAGAAGCAAATCACCGCCTGAGAGTGCAAGAGCCGAAAGAGTAGCATCGATCAATTAGTGAGAAAGGGATATTTCTTCCAATTTCAGAGAGCATACAACCCTATAGGAACGTCTTGCCATCCCTATACCCTCAAGAAAAACGACATCACCCCCAATTTCTGATTATATATATATATATATATATATATATATATATATATATATATATATATATATATAATTTAATTTCTTTTTGGGAAAATATGTCGTCCCTATAGGTTTTTAGAATCATGCCAACATTTTTTTCATCCCCGCCTTAACAGTGGAGGCGATTTGTCGTCACTTTAGCTTTTAAAGTCAAAAATATTTGGTCAACCCTATAGCAACAATATCTCGTCCCTATAGGGTCATCTATAGTGACAACTTTTGTCGTCCCTGTATGTTCCGTCCCTATAGTTGTTTATTCTTGTAGTGACAATAGCATATGCAACAAGTAATATATTATTTTTAGCATCTTTTGTGACTGCAACAATCAATTTCCCCTTATATGAACCCTTCAAATGAAAACCATCAACAGAAATAACAGGTTGACATAGACGAAATGCATCAATAGCATGTCCAAAAGCCCAAAAAACATACTTGAATGTAGCAACCTATGAGGAGTTATTTGTCTTATGAAACCACTTCACAACTGTATTAGGATTTGAAGCTTGCAAAGTTGTAATATACTTGGGCAACTCATCAAAATTACTATGTCATGTGATATAAATAATCTTTATGGCTTTTCTCCTTCCATGTCATATCTTTCGGTAAGAAACATCAACATTCAGAATGTTTTTAATATCTAATTGTATATGTTTTACTGGATAACAACATTTTTTCAATTAAATGCAAGATGTATGAGGAAATAGGTAAAGAGTTTAAAATTATGTTATTATTTCCAATACATGATCCAAATCAATTGTGATCATCCACCCAAAGACTTTTAACAAACTTTTTGTAGATATGATATTATGAACAGAAGAGAAATTATAATACTAAAATAAGAATAGATTAAATAATTCAATCATTTGTTTTCTTTGAGTTTCCATGAACAACCGCAATGAATTTTAACAAGCTTTTGCAAATATGTTAGCATGAACAATATTTTAGAGTTTTAAAAAATAATAATAATATAAAATAACAAAAATGTTTATATATTTATTAATTATAATAAAAACCTAGCAAGCAAATGTAATATATTAAATATTGAAATTTATTCAATAAGTTATATATTAAGAGTATAAGTTATTCAAAATATTAATTAGAACTTTTAATAATCTAATTTACATATAATGTATAAAAAGGGTCAAAACTTAAGTTTTTAATAATAAAAGCTCTACAAAAAATAACAAAAAATAATGATATTCGTTAAAGGACTAAAAATGTAACATGTTTACTTAATTCTAAAAGTAAACGACCAAGGTCAACTTAATTGGGACCCAATCAAAAAGCTAATTTCTGTAAAATACTCATTTCTACCAAGGAAAGAAAAACTGCCCCATTTCCATCAATCATTCTCAAAACTATAATATTTTTACCAAAAACTCTTAATACAAATCAATTTTATTACACAACAGGTTACACATGTATAAACATCTAGACTGTTGCTACATATTTATGTTACAATGTTTGATACTTCTGGACAGTTATAAAAACTATAATAATATTTATGAGGATGTGAAAAGATAATCTATAAACCCATTGATCCATCAAGGACTTAATTTAGGAAGTGAGAATGCCGCTCAAATTTGTACCAACTAGTTGCTTCAAAAGGTGTTTTTTTTTGTCAGATTTTATCATTTTCATAGCCTCAACAATCGCTATAAGTGTGACCACAAACGCATAATCCACCTTGGGATAAATGGTCACCATGAATTTGCCCTCAACCCACTTCATATTCTTCGATGATTGCATTTTAGACATCTACAAGAAACAGTCCATTTATTAGTTTCAGCTTGAGCTTATAAGTTCATGATATGAAGTACTTACGGAATCTTTTCAGTTATACACAATTACACAAAGCATGGAAGGAAATCTACTAGAAACCAACTAAAAGGTATGAGATAATATGAATTACCTGGGCTATTGGTGTAGAAGTACCTCCCACAAAAATAGTGCAGTTTCTGTTCGACCAACTTCCTTTCATCTTAAAATCACAAACATCGGCACAACTGGTTTTGTTTTCCAAGAATACATCAACACCAGTCTTAAACTGGATCAAGTTATGTATTTTTGCGCTAAATATTATATCCGAATTACTTTCACTTTCACCCCTGAATACACTCCATCGACCGTGTAGAGTCATCAACTGGAAGATTTAGCATCAAATATTTTGACCCCAAAAGAGGAAAATTAAAAAATAAAATATATATTAAAAATTGAACTTAAAGTCACCTTTTCACGGATCATTGCGATGGGTTTGTCATCAGCGTCAACAAGCACTCTTTGATGACGAAAGGATGTGTCGCATGGTTTCACTTTGAGCAGGATTTTATGGTTCATATCAGTGATCACAATGTTTCCACGTAAAGTTGTATCAACTATAACATCGAGTTGAAATGGTGCCATGAACTGAGACCCTATCACAGAAACTGGTGCACAGCTATAGCTCGGTTCAGCCATGGTCAATATACGTACGTACGTACACACACACACACACAGAGAGAGAGAGAGAGAGACGTACGTACACACAGAGTGAAAGAGAGACAATGAAAGGCTTTTAACATGCAAGATCTGCCCTGCCATGTTGACGGATAGCTTTTTTTTGGGGTTAGGATTTTGGAAGTTTGTCGGGAAGCCTCAAACGCACACGGCATTTTTTTAAACTAAGTCTACCCAAGTCGTCTCTTAATTGCTAAATGACATCGACTATCAACATCTTACATCTACATGTTTTTATTCCATGTGGTTGTTTTTTAAAAAGGGTAACCGGACAAGGGTTATTGCTTTTTTTTGGGGGAAATATATATCATGATGTTGTTTGGGTAATTAATGTCCAACTATTTTCTATCAGTTACATGTAACTGCGCGCGTTTAACATGTATAAGTTTGCTTAATTTTTGTGGTCATATGAATGAGCATATAGGACTACGTCAAACTTTCCAAATATATAAAACTAGTCATTTTCTAATTATATTAAAATGGTATCAGAGCCAAGAAAAGATTTTGGGGTGGTTATGCATGATATATTTACTTCTAAAGTTTTTGGTTTAATATCCTATAAGAAATATATAAGTTTTAATAAGCATGATACAGAGACAAGACCAGTGATTGGCTGGATTAGCGTAAAGCGCGCAGATAAGGACGTAAGTCGCGGTGCCGGACCACAATCATCGTCGGGACGAATCCCCTCTGTTCACCATTATTAAAACAGGTAAGTTTTCTTATAGAATTTTAAAACAAAAAATATGAGTAAATTTTCAGGCATACTATCCAAAAAATATATTCTTGGTAAAAATATCAATAATGAACAAGATAATGATGATAATCAAATAAATTCTATTGAAGAAACCGTTAATAACATAGAACAAAGTTTGAATAATTGGACAATACCTAAAACTAATATTAATACAATATATAAAATAGGAACTTTTGATTACTTTCAAGGTTATTCTATTAAAATGACAGAACAAACTTTGTCTATTGGTCAAAACCAACAAAACTTACATTTGTTATCATCACGATCTATTCTAGAGCATAGAACGAAATATAAATTTTTACATGTCGGTTTAGTCCAAATTGCTATCAAGCCTCTATTTAGAATTGGAATAGATGCCCCTGTTCTCCTTATTTTAAGAGACAGGAGACATAAAGATTTTCAAAATTCTATTTTAGCTATGGCTGAAACAAATATTGCTAACGGACCTATTTATTTCAATTGTTATCCGAATTTCTCTGTAGGATTATTTGATAAAAATATTTTAGATACTTTAGTTTTAACTATAGAAACAAAAAATTTAGAATTTAAGGATGATACAAAGCCTTTAGCAATAATTTATCGTGTTTGTTACAAAACTATGACAACTACACTTGAACCAAAAACACGTTTATCAAATCCTAAAAATGAAACAATTATTTTTGAAGCAAATACTAACCATACCAAAGTTCATACACCAAAAAGATTAAAATGGTCTGATATAACCCAATCATGTAATTGGAACTTACAAAATGTTATTGATCCAAAACCATTAGACTCTTCAAAACAAATCTCAAATATTATTGAATATAATGATGGTTCTGTAGATATAAATTTTTCTTCCTTAAATATTTCATCATCCAGATTATCAACTTCTTTTCCAGAAACAGGCTCTTCAAAATCTTCGTTATTAAAGTCGAGATCTTTAAAACTAAAAACTGTTGACTATACTAATTCTATTCCCAAACCATTATATCAAGATGATCAAAATAGTGAAAATAGTCTTCCTAGTCCTACTAAATCAGATTTTATTGATGAACTTCAGAATTTTAAACAACAATTATGAGTTCTAAAATACAAATTAATTGTTCACAAAATAATAAGCTTTGGGCTAATATGTTAAAAAGACATTGGAAGATAAATTCTAATATATGCAAAACAATTCAACATTTAGAAGAAACTAAAACTTATGAAAATAATAATTTATACAAAATATCTCCATATACTAATAAGTATAATAAACAAATAGAAAAAATTTCTAGGCTAAAGATAGGAATAAAAAAATACGAAAAATCAAGAAGTCATAATTTAGAATCGATAAAGCATATTTCTTCAATCCTAACAAAAACAACCTGTTAAAATGAATTTCTCGAATTTAGAATATCAAGTTGATTTTGATTACTTAAAAAATATTGAGTATTATAAAGATTATAACCGTAAAAAAAGAGCTTGGCACGAAGAAAATTATTCATACTACTTAAGATTTCTCCATTTAGGCCTTTGGGAAGATTATGTCTTATCAAATAAAATCCATTCTCCTTTTTTTCAATGGTTTGAATTAATTTATGCCCCTAAACATAAAATAAATTACCCATTTAAAACTGATTCTATCACTCCCATTTTAGAGAAAAAATATAAAGATATTATTTCTAATAAAGAAATTATTGCTAATTTTCCACCAAAAGGAGAAATTATTATTAACGATATGTTTATTGCAACTCCTTTAGTTCAAGCCCCAAATCCATTAACTACCGAAAAGGGTCTTCAAAAAATTATTTACCAAAATAACTATGCAAATGAAACCTTATCTAGTATTACCGAGCATCTAGTAAAAATTGAAGAAAAATTTTTTAAAGATAAAAACATTAACAAGCAAGATATGGCAAGCACTAGTAATTTAAGTTTTGTTCCTTGCCAAATCGATGGTAATTTTAATCTAGGAAATACAGATTTAATTAACGAATTAGAAAAAAGACTTTCAAAACTTCATATCTCAAACACTAATAATATTAATACTCTTACGAATGAAGAATCTGAAAATAGTGATATTAATAGTGAAACAAATTTTGAAACTCTTGCTCAACAATTTAATACGAATGATGATATTAATCAACTCACTAATGACTTTTCAAATCTTAATAAAATTCATCAATCAAAGCAAAGCACTTTCGGAAAAAATCCAAAACCAACCATAAGAAATTATTGGAATAGACTTAATAATCAAGGCACAATTTGTTTCACTATAAGAAATTATTGGAATAGACTTTCGGAAAAAATCCAAAACCAACCATAAAATTCCAATAATTTCTTATGGTTGGTTTTGGATTTTAAGTCTATTCCAATAATTTCAATAAATTGTGCCTTGATTATTAAGTCTATTCCAATAATTTCTTATGGTTGGTTTTGGATTTTTTCCGAAAGTGCTTTGCTTTGATTGATGAATTTTATTAAGATTTGAAAAGTCATTAGTGAGTTGATTAATATCATCATTCGTATTAAATTGTTGAGCAAGAGTTTCAAAATTTGTTTCACTATTAATATCACTATTTTCAGATTCTTCATTCGTAAGAGTATTAATATTATTAGTGTTTGAGATATGAAGTTTTGAAAGTCTTTTTTCTAATTCGTTAATTAAATCTGTATTTCCTAGATTAAAATTACCATCGATTTGGCAAGGAACAAAACTTAAATTACTAGTGCTTGCCATATCTTGCTTGTTAATGTTTTTATCTTTAAAAATTTTTTCTTCAATTTTTACTAGATGCTCGGTAATACTAGATAAGGTTTCATTTGCATAGTTATTTTGGTAAATAATTTTTTGAAGACCCTTTTCGGTAGTTAATGGATTTGGGGCTTGAACTAAAGGAGTTGCAATAAACATATCGTTAATAATAATTTCTCCTTTTGGTGGAAAATTAGCAATAATTTCTTTATTAGAAATAATATCTTTATATTTTTTCTCTAAAATGGGAGTGATAGAATCATTTTTAAATGGGTAATTTATTTTATGTTTAGGGGCATAAATTAATTCAAACCATTGAAAAAAAGGAGAATGGATTTTATTTGATAAGACATAATCTTCCCAAAGGCCTAAATGGAGAAATCTTAAGTAGTATGAATAATTTTCTTCGTGCCAAGCTCTTTTTTTACGGTTATAATCTTTATAATACTCAATATTTTTTAAGTAATCAAAATCAACTTGATATTCTAAATTCGAGAAATTCATTTTAACAGGTTGTTTTTGTTAGGATTGAAGAAATATGCTTTATCGATTCTAAATTATGACTTCTTGATTTTTCGTATTTTTTTATTCCTATCTTTAGCCTAGAAATTTTTTCTATTTGTTTATTATATTTATTAGTATATGGAGATATTTTGTATAAATTATTATTTTCATAAGTTTTAGTTTCTTCTAAATGTTGAATTGTTTTGCATATATTAGAATTTATCTTCCAATGTCTTTTTAACATATTAGCCCAAAGCTTATTATTTTGTGAACAATTAATTTGTATTTTAGAACTCATAATTGTTGTTTAAAATTCTGAAGTTCATCAATAAAATCTGATTTAGTAGGACTAGGAAGACTATTTTCACTATTTTGATCATCTTGATATAATGGTTTGGGAATAGAATTAGTATAGTCAACAGTTTTTAGTTTTAAAGATCTCGACTTTAATAACGAAGATTTTGAAGAGCCTGTTTCTGGAAAAGAAGTTGATAATCTGGATGATGAAATATTTAAGGAAGAAAAATTTATATCTACAGAACCATCATTATATTCAATAATATTTGAGATTTGTTTTGAAGAGTCTAATGGTTTTGGATCAATAACATTTTGTAAGTTCCAATTACATGATTGGGTTATATCAGACCATTTTAATCTTTTTGGTGTATGAACTTTGGTATGGTTAGTATTTGCTTCAAAAATAATTGTTTCATTTTTAGGATTTGATAAACGTGTTTTTGGTTCAAGTGTAGTTGTCATAGTTTTGTAACAAACACGATAAATTATTGCTAAAGGCTTTGTATCATCCTTAAATTCTAAATTTTTTGTTTCTATAGTTAAAACTAAAGTATCTAAAATATTTTTATCAAATAATCCTACAGAGAAATTCGGATAACAATTGAAATAAATAGGTCCGTTAGCAATATTTGTTTCAGCCATAGCTAAAATAGAATTTTGAAAATCTTTATGTCTCCTGTCTCTTAAAATAAGGAGAACAGGGGCATCTATTCCAATTCTAAATAGAGGCTTGATAGCAATTTGGACTAAACCGACATGTAAAAATTTATATTTCGTTCTATGCTCTAGAATAGATCGTGATGATAACAAATGTAAGTTTTGTTGGTTTTGACCAATAGACAAAGTTTGTTCTG